TGGGGGTGTGTATGTATGTGTGTATGTGTGGATGTGTGTTTGTGAGTGTGTATGGGGGTATGTATGTGTGTGTGTGGGTGAGTGTGTGTGTGTGTAGGGGGCGAGCTGTGGGGCGTAGAGAGGTTTGGTAAATGAGGATCATAGAGTGAGGATGGCGGGGAAACGACCACAAGGAAGCGCAGCGAGTAATATTTGTGAAATTCTACCGTCCAGCCATACCCGACCATGAGCGCAGCAAGTCTGTCCAGGCCGGTGTCTGGCCCCATTTCTCGGTTTAATTAGTTGGTGCTGGAGACAGTTCGGGTTAAGTAGATAGGGTGAGATAAAGATAAAATCCCCGGCAATCTCCAGTGGGGCATGCCTCCAAGCGGAAACAAAATTTGCTGCCTTCAGTTTACCCAACGGTTTATTAACAAGATGTCCAAGGTTGTTCAGACAACGTTCCGCCAAAAATAGTCGAATGTTTGAGGGGGCCGCGGGGGCCGATGTATCCTCAGTGTGGCACACATTTCCTACAGCCCAGCACCTCCTCCGTCATTCCTTTGGGAATGAGATTCCTGTTTGTTTTTTGGTTGGCCCATCCCATCCCTGATCTCACAGGAGGCAGCTAGTTCAGGTTGTCTGACATGATCGGTGGCCCACACAACCCCTCGGTGTATAGCCAGATGTCCCTCGGAGTAACAGATGACAGTGTGCTGCGTATACAACTTGCACTGGAGGGCATGTCTCTCTGATCATTGAATCAAAGAATCCCTACAGAGCGGGAAGAGGCCATTCGGCCCATCGACTTTTGCACCAGGCACCCTCCGAAAAGCTTCCCACCCAGACTATCCCTATAATCCTGCATTTCCTATGTTTAACCCATCTAGCCTGCATATCCCTGACCACTATGGGCTAATTTAGATGGTCCATCCACCAACCCCGCCCCAACCCCCTGGGAGGAAACCAGAGCACCCCCGGGGAAACCCGCGCAGAAACGGGGAGAGTGTGCAAACTCCACACAGACAATCGCCTGAGGCTGGAATCGAACCTGGGTGTCTGGAGCTGTGAGGCAGCAGTGCTAACCACTGGTCATAGTATTTCATTGATGTTGTTCTCCAGTCTTAACCAGCCAACTCAGTATTGGCAGGGCTGACGCATTCGCTAACCACGGGAAGGGTGGCATACCAGTATCTAGAACGGCCTGGACACCCAGCGCCTCAGGTTCAAGATCTGGGATGTGGTTCACCTTCATCTGGTTCGCTAAGTGTCCTTTAGGAGATCTGTCATCCTAACCCGGTCTGGCCTACATGTGACTCCAAACCCACAGCAATGTGGTTGGCTTTTAAAAGCTCTCTGAGCAATTAAGGATGGGGCAACGAACGTTAGTCTAGCCATTGGTGCCCACATCCCATGGCCGAATATCAAAAGATACAGCGCCTATTGAATTTAGGACTAAAAAAACAAGTTTCATCTTATATTGAGTCAATATCATTTCCAGTGCTTGTGAGGGCGGAACAAGAAGTCGCTTTGAAAACGAAACCCGCTAAGTGAGGTTAAAAATCGCAGTGAAAATTGGGAAGCATGTTGACAGCCTGATTGGAAAATGCTGGTGACTTTAGTGTTTCCAACTTTCTTACCTTCGAACTGATGGGTCAAAGTCAGATTCTAACGCTTCCCGGACTCGAACCTGCACCCGGGCTCTTCCGATTCGCGAGCAGAGAAGCTTGCTTTCTGTGTGTGCCTCTCACAGCGGGATAAGATCTTAAAACGATCAAAAACAAAAGTTGATGGAAAAAGCTCAGCAGGTCTGGCAACATCTGTGAAGAAAAAAAAAATGAGTTAACCTTTCGGGTCCGGTGAAGAAAGGTCGTCTGTGTTGTAAGGAAGGGTCACCGGACCCGAAAGGTTAACTCTGATTTTTTATTCTTCACAGATGCTGCCAGACCTGCTGAGCTTTTCCGGCAATTTTTTGCTCCTGATTTACAGCATCCGCAGTTCTTTCAGTTTTTTTAATCTTAAAATATTCATTGCCATTTGATGTCGAATTTACCGCCGCTAGCCAGTTTTAAGAAGCAAATTAACCACTCACCCCAAACCCCATCACCTCCTCTCCCTCTCTCTCTAAAAAAGATGTTGGGTCAGATTGCTATCCCCCCACCCCATGACCCCTCCCCGGCTCCCATTATTCTCGCCGACCACATGCCGCTGCGCCTTGAACCCCAGCCCACCAAACCCTGCTTTCATCAGCCCCTTCAAGGGAACGTAAACAACAAAAATTCAAATCTTTAAAAAGTTAGGGGAGAGATACGACTGAAGCGCCGGTCGTTTACAAAAAGATGTGTTTGATAAACTCTCGGAATGCAAACAAATGGGACATTGATTTTGAATTCATCAGGAGATACATCAGTAGCACTACAGCCTGATTTCCCCAGGCACCGCTCCGTTTTAAAGATCAGCGTCAACAAAATTTATCAGGGTGTTACTTAACATTTCATTGAGCGCAGAATATTCCAAAAACAAACTGGAGGCGGTGGGTCAGGCAGATCGTTCTCTTTATTCCTGAGAAATGCAACACTAGTTTTCTCTCTAACAAGTAGGTAAGGCGTTTTAGGATAGCGTGTCCTGTTTAGTAACATTAGGCCCATTCTTGGCGTCGACATTTAACATTGTGAGAGGTGTCTGAGCTCGCAGTACGGCCTCCTAAACGAGTGATCCCCGCGGGGACCGATAGCGACCGTTTGCGTCGCTCAGGCAAAGGCTGTGGACAGAGCCTAGCGATTTCGAATACTCTCTAAAGGATAACCTGAGACGGGAAAGTGTGCATTGGGTGAGTATTCAGCATTAACAAGAGACAGAGTGTCTTCCGCGTACAATATCCTGGGGGTGATTTCTTCTACGTGAGTTAGTTACACAATCCTCACGTGTTAATTGTCATCCATATTTTCTTAAACGACCCCTTAATTTGAAATTTGATCGATATGTTTACCAGAGATAATTTACTCATACATTTAGCTGAATAGATGTTTTCCCCGATGCGCCGGACACTTTATTCAAAACGATATCAAGCCAATTTAAACATGTGTCTCCTTGTCCTGAAGCGGTGATTAACATAATAGGTTATAGAAATAGTAAATATGAACATTTATCCCTGGTACATTGTCATGTGTATACATATGTCAATGTATTCCTGTATATTATCTTGTGTATATTGTATGTCAATGTTTCCCTGTTACATTATCATGTCAGTGTATTCCTAGTGCATTACATTTGCATACTATATGATCAGTACTCCTTCTGCATTACATGTCTACACTATATAACCATGTAACTCTGGTGCACTATCATGCGTATACTATGTGACCATGCATCCATGCTGCAATACATGTGTACGTTATATAACCATGTATTTCTGGCGTATGACATATACCATATGACCATGAGTCCCCGATGTATAAGTGTATGTTATATGACCATGTTATATGACGTGTGTATACCATATGGCCATTTATCCATGCTGCAGCACATGTATTCTAATATCTAACGCATAAATATTTGAGGGAAGCAGTTCAGAGACTTTTCTCAGTCAGTCCCACAACCCACCCTCTTCCAACCCTCCCTGATATTTAGAGTGACAGTTGTGCAAATCCAAGGTTTTTCCGGGATGCAGGAGCAATTTTAAAACGCCAGAATTTTGAATTTTGTCGCACCGTAGCCGAATTGAAAACAAAATAGACAAGCGATGCCAACAAAGCCCTCAATATTGTATATACATTAGAAAATTGAAATAAATCCACCCTAATTAAACGAAACCACCGACAGGAAAACGCCAAGGACGACATTACCAAATCGTGTTGGTAATTTTCTGGACTTGTCTTCCGGTTCTGCCTTGAAATAGAATAAAAAAAAACTAAAAGCCACACAGAGTGAGAGTCAGCGAGATTTCACGTATAGAAGAATTTGTATATAATTCAATACTCTGGAAGCATATTCAAAATATACAAATAAAAACACAAACACAAGGCTACATTTACATATTCACAACCAGTGCAATTACAATTCTATATATGTGTAAAATGCAAATATGACCACTTATCCCTGGTGCGTATACTATATAATAACTATTATATATAATAAATCATAAATTAATATGTAATGTATTTTCATATAATCTTCGTCAAGAGAAAGTCTAGGATCAGGTGTGAATCCAAAGGGCGAGATTTGACAGTCTAATTATCTGTCGGAGGTTTTTACCCAGCTACATTGCTAAATTTCACTTGCCTCTTCCCTAGCCGCCTTTACCAGGTTCCACCGCCATCCAAATGACTGCCGGCACCATCCAGAACCCCACCGCCGGCTTCTTTACAAGCAGTTTTCAACGTTTTTTTTCCCCCCTTAAAGGTCAGATTTGATTCAAATTCCACTTCAGAACAAAAGTAAGTTAAAGTACATTTTATGTAAAATATTTTTAAACGTGTCCAGCACAAATTAAACCATATAATGGCAAAAAAATTGAAGAAATATTCGGGACTTCGCCAGTTACTTTATAATGTGTTATGCGGGCAAAAACTTAAATCAGTAGATGGGAAAGTCTACAGGTTTATTTCTCGCCTGAGCACAGATGTTCCTTCCCCCAATCCTACCCAACCTCCTACTCGTGGGCTGACTCCAGTGTAGAGGAGCTGGATCAGATCTTTGCTTTTTGTTGTACCTTTCAGTCGCTGGAGTTACGAACAGAGCATATGACCGTTTGTCTAATAGTTTCTGTCTGTCTGTGTAGGTGACTTTCTGTATGTGTGTTTGTGCGCGTGTGACCGTCTGCCAATCTGCCCGTTTGTGTCTATGTGACTATTCCTCTGTGTTTGTGTCTGTGTGAGCTTCTGTCTTTGTGTATGTGACTATTTCTGTCTGTGTGTCTCTGTGTGTGTGTGTGTGTGTGTGTGTGTGTGTGTGCGCCGTACACGCAATGTACCATCTCCACTCGCTGGTCTGCCCAGCCAGTAATAACACATCGGCCCTGCAACTGCCAGTGACTCTGAGATCGTTGCTCAATGGGCGAACTCTGCACACGGAATACGTCCCAGTGCCCCAAACTATCACTTTTGAAAAGTTGACCTGGATAGACGCTGAAGGTCGGGGCAAGTGCTTTCCAAAACCAGCGGCAGCGACTTTGGGTTTGGGGCAGAAATGGATGCTGCTACTGAGCTGAAGCCAGGGGGGAATTTAAACACGGATGCGCCGCACGACTTCCGGACCCAGAATGATGATCTGCGCAAAGGTACTGAGTCCAACTCACTTTATTCACGGCGCGGGATATTGTGATTATCTGAACGGCCGTACACCTCACATACCACTTCTAGACTCTTGCTGATGTATTTTCCGCTCGGAGTTTTGGATGCAGTGTTAGATAAAATCAGTCTGATGTCAAAAGCCGGGCACTATCAAAAATTAAGCTCTGGAGAATTTCACTATAAACAGACGCGTAATCAACCAATGCCGGCCAACTCTTAAAACCAGTCAATTAACTAATTAGGTGATATTTCCATTTGAAATTTTACACACTTTAACATTTTAATTACTTAAGGCGCCGAATTAACAATAAACCCCTCCCAACAGCCGGCCAACTATGTTCAGTCTTTAAATAGATTCTGTGTTTTCGACGCCCTTTACTATGGTCAGATTTGCAATAGGAATACGACCACAGGGGGTGGGTTCAGAGTTTGTAGGTTATTTCAAACGGCTGCTATCCAGAAATAAATTACTTGTTTATAATTACGCCAAGCGATTGGGTCTTAATGCCACAACAATTTTTTTTTAAAATTTGAATTATTTGGGGGTTGTGAGATCCGACCTCGCGTGTACAGAGTTCACACACCCCTCTCCTTTTATCTATCAGGAGGTTTTGCTTCTTACTTCGGTAACATTGATTATTGTTAACGCTGACGGGGGATTAGAGTCTTGCGAATGTCACTAACCTGACATATGTCTCGTCTTCCCCATTCTTCCTTCCTCGCACGGCATTTAACAATGAGTTTGTAACTTTTAGGAGCAGAGACAGTTTTCATTTCCATATTGTGATCGCAGTCTTCAGTGGGAGAGGCCTCGAATGGATTCATTTCAAGGGATTTTTTTTTGTAAAAATGCTGTTATAATAACAAAGAGGTGCACATGGGCTCGGAGTAAGTTAATGTGACAACGGAGAGGTAACTTAAACTCGCTTCGCAAATTCCCTTGCCTGTGAGTTTAACTGCAAGGCGCTATCATAAAAAAGATCTGGCTGACGAAGAGAAACGCAAAATGCTCATACCAGTGCATATTTAATGTCAGTCTGCCGTTACTATCTATGACAGTCCGTGTAAACTGCCTGTTCATCGCTATGCATAGGCAAAGGATGCAGATTTCATACAAAAACAAACATTTTAAAAGCGCCGCTTTCTTTCCCTGCCGAGAAGAAGCACTCGCGCTGCAAGTGTTATGAGGAGAGTGGACAACCTTCGCCTCTATAGTTCACAGAGAGTTTGCGGCTTGCACCGAACCAGTTCTAATCCAGGAGCGAGCAGGAAACATAGCAAAAAAAAAACTGGAATTTGCGTCTCACATTCTGATTGACGTCTATCCCAAGTAAGCAAGGGAATGGTGGGCACTAAACATTACCAGATTCATCAGTGAAACTTTCACTCTATATATACATACATACAATATACATACAATGCACTAGAAATAAGGCAGAGATAATTGGAGTTTAAAGCAATAACAGAAAGACCAGGATGAAAAAAAGGGAATTCCATTATAATCTGAGGGCCTGTTCGACAGTGGACTGACCAATGCAGGCTTTAACTAGAGGAAATTACAAGGTGAAGATAGCAAACCACCGACAATGCACCGCTATATTTAATCGTGTAAATTATAGCTAACATGGAGCATACTCATTTCATGTTCTGTTTCACTGTATAGAAAAATCTATTTTTCATTGTTTAAAGCGAAACGCCTGTCGCCTCAAAATTTCAGCAGTAATTTTAGGGATTAATGCGCGTTCCCGACTCCGCAGTTTTAATATGACTCCCTTACTACTTGCGTTGCCAACAGCCGATTAAGATGTATCGTGTAAGTAAGTGGCCGTGTGTGTATCTCGTTCTCCCACTCTGATTCTCGCTCTCGCCGCTGTCCTGGTGACAGTTATTGGATGTTGCTGGAAGGCAGTTTCTTGCTGCATACTTTATGAACGACTGGAATGGTCCCATGTTTGCCGAAGCCACCACAGTGAACTGTTGGATCATCAAGCCCTGAATTGGGACCCGAACCCGGAGCCTCTAGCTTTAGAAATAAGGACACTACCGCCTGAACCACAAGACATCCCCACCCCTCCCCTCATAGCTGATTTTTGTAGTATTGATGCTAGAGCTAGGCTAATAATGGGAGTCCAAATCCCACTTTAGATGTTTGCAAATTTCAATTGAGTTAATGGGTATTTCTTGTGGAAATTTGTCTGTGAAAGTGAGTATGGAATTGGCCCAGAAATGAACTACTTCATTAAAGCTGTGTAGATAGAGAAACCTAGGAGCAAATTACTGCAGAAACTGGAATCTGTACTGAAAACAAAAAATACTGGAGATCACATTGGGTCAGGCAGCGTCCGTGGAAGGAAAGCAAGCTAACGTTTCGAGTCTAGATGACTCTTCATCAGATAGGGAAACCTGCCGTCTTTGCTGGGTCCGGCTTATTCATGACTCCAGTCCCACACCAACTTGGTTAACTGCCCGCTGAAGTGGCCGGACATATCACTCATTTGTCTCAAACAGCCAGCACCAGGGTGTATAGGGCGTCGAGCGAAAGCACATCCGCAGAATGAAGGAAAGCAGTAGGTGTGTGTGGGTGGGAGCTGCTGGTAAGCTAACCATTGAATTTGTTACTGGGATGTGAAAGACGAATAAGGGAACAGTTTGTCAGTGGGCGAGGTGCTCAGAAATAAAGTGGAGTTAATGCTAGTGTCTAAAAGTTGCGGTCTACCTAAACAGAGGAGTCTCTGGCCTTCCGCTACCTGATTGGCTGCTACTATGACCCTTGAACCACCCGTCTTTTTTTGTATCAAACCAGCTCAGGTTCCTCCTGAAACCGCTAAATCCAAAATTTTGCCTTTATAGGGTAATGTGCGGAGGGGACTGTCCCTGGAGGAATGCCTTAAGGGCTCTTTTTTTTTGGTGAGGAGAACTAAATTGGTCTAGATATGATGTTAGCTTTGCTAGTTGCCCCCATTCTCCTCTATGAATCCACCTGCCCCCGATAATACCAACGCAATTAAAAAAAGACTCGCAGCCCCCTCCCCCAATATAATTAAATAGGCTGCGCCCTGTTTGCTTGACAAACTGTTCGTACCGGAAATCACCATTCCGCCAATTCCCTCAAACCATTTCACAGTCACAGTGCAACGTAAGGTTGTGGTTTGACTTCAGTTTCTCGGTTAGGCGGGAGAGGGGCCAGATCTCAACGAAGCAGCGAACTGATTTGCATTGATTTATTTCCTTAAAATCGAGTTGGGGGGGGGTGCGGGGGAAACGAGGTCTGATTGAGCTGTAATAAGTTCTGAGACATAGATAGGGAGAACCCATCCATTCCCCTTGGTAGGATGGTCAATAACATGGGGCCCAGTCTTAAGATAAGGAAAAGGATTTTTAGAGGGGATGTGAGGAAATATGTTTTCATCTGGAACTCACCGCCTAAAAAGGTGGTAGAGACAGGAACCCTCATAATTTTTCTGTATTTAGTTGAACACTTGAATCGCCATAGCATACAAGACTGCCAGGCTCTGATAGAGCAGCGGCAGTGGCCTTTCTCTGAACCTGGAGGCCTGGATTTAGCCTCACCCGCTCCAAAATAGTTTCATAACATTTCTGAGCAGGCTGATTGGAAAATATCTGCAAGGCTACAGGCCTTCGATTACAGAAATTGAATTAGGATAGTCAGAGGCTCGATGTCCAACACGGTTACGATGGGCCGAAGGTAATTTTCCCCTGAGGTTGATGCTTTACTTTCTGAAAGTCAATTTTTCTGGATCATTTCAACCGTCCCCACCTCTTTCACTCCAACAGATCGTTTCAAATCCACAAATTAGACAGAAGACAATGAACGCTCGTTTTATTGAAATGAGAACTAAGACAGTAGTATACATATATGTTTGTTTTAAGATAAAAAAAAACGAAAGATCTGCGGATGCTGTAAATCAGAAACAAAAACAGAAATTGCTGGAAAAGTTCAGCAGGTCTGGCAGCGTCTATGGAGAGAAATGAGAGTTAGCGTTTCGGATCGAGTGGACCCCTCCTCAGTTCCAAGGGTCACCGGACCCAAAACTTTAACTCTGCTTCTCTCTCCACAGATGCTGCCAGACCTGCTGAGTTTCTCCAGCGATTTCTGATGTTTGTGAGTTTCAGGTCTGCACCGTCCGCAGTTCTTTGTTTGATTATTATCTCAGACGGTTCTATCCCTCATTCCCCTCTTCTTCCAAATCTCCATGTGCTAATAAGAAAGAACAATTGTTTAAATAATTTTATGTAACGTACTATATAAACCGTGTCTTTTTTGTGAATGTCTTTGTCTTGTAAAGAGGGGATTAACAATATCAGGGACATTAATCTTACAATAAATGCGCGCGCTCAAGCGTGTATGTATAGACAACTTCTAACTCTTCCAAACATTGTACTCAGGGTTTAAAACATTGCAAGCTTTGGAATGCCGATGCACAGCCAACCCTCCTAAATTTCTAAATGCGGTAGAACGCACATTGCCAGATTATGAATTGCACCGTAGGTTTTAAACACCGTCTAATTCCTATCACGGCAAACAGCTCAGGTCTGCACGCCGATGCACTTGTAAAGGGAGCTGCGTCGTTAATGCGTAGGGTCCCTACCTCCTGTAATGAAACGGCTTTTAATATTGCCTACACGCACTCTCTGGAAATCACATTTACTTTTAGTGAATCTCTCGAGGCCTTTCCTCAATATTACTGATCTTTGACTCCAATCGGATGCAAAACTCTCCGCAACATCGTTTAAATAAACCCCCCGCTCTCTCCAAAATGAAATTAAAACAGTAAAACAATAACAAGCCCAATCTTTATAACCACCAGAACGACGGATAGCTGGATATTGTTGTGTATTGTCATTTGACTTCTAAAAATCCCGAAGGTTCGCCGTTCCAAAATTAAATAGAAAAAAATTGATAAATATTTAGGCATTTCTGATAAATATAGTTGCAGTCTCAAAGTAGGAGACGGGGTTAAACAGGCTGTTGTTGAAATGGGAAGGAATTAAAGCGTTTAATATATAAATATGTAATTATATATTGTATTTATCTGCTTTACCCATTAAGTAGTTTAATCATATATTATAGTGTATATTCCTAATTATATGTATTATAGACTATATATGTGATTAAAGTGTTGATATGTATATATAGCCACTTTGCAAGTCCCTGCTAAGGAGCTGAATCTGGGCAACACTCACCAACACAGAACCAAAACTGGCCACGGATCTCGCTTTCACTTTTGATAGGGCTCTGGTAGCCAAGGTGCTGGAAGTGAGGTGGAGTCAACATTGCGTGGCGAAAGGTGCGGTCTACCTCGGCAGAGTGGTCGCTGGCCTTGCACATTTGCTGATTGGCAGCTGTTGGAGGTTGCCGGACTCCAGTGATCCTTGACCCATCTACTCGGGATTTTTTTTTGTTTTGTTTTGGATATCCAATGATTCAGGTTCCCCTTGAAGGGATTCCTCTATGAATCTCCCCTCATGGAGTAGGATTGTGACGAGGACTGTATCTGGAGGAATACCTTCTCTCGGGTGGAGAGCTGGGCTGCTGTATACACAGGGTCGCTTTTACTCCACTCCTCCCTCTTTTAACTCACCCCCACCCCACCCGCCTCTCTCCCCAGACTACCCCTCCCACTCCACCCCCAAAACCCCCAGCCGTCTCGCGTCCTGGTTGAGAGCCAAACTGCTCACGCCTGGAGCATAAACCGAAAGTGCTGGAGAAACTCGGCTCGTCTGTAAGCATCGGTGAAGAGAGGAAACAGAGTTAATATTTCGAGTCCAGTAACCCTTCGTCAGCACTGATCACTGGATTCCGCCCGATTCCCTCAAAGGTCTTGAAGATCACAATGCAACGTAAGGTTTTGGTTTGATTTCCGTTTCTCCGTTAGGCCGGGGAGGGGTCAGATCGAAATGAGACTGCGACCAGATTTCTATTTATAGGCTGGAAGTTAATTTCTCTGCACCCTTCCAATCTCCCTCTCCTCTTCCAGCCCAACAGATCACCTCCAATCCGCGAATCAGTGAATGCTCCTTTATTTTAAAAACAAATTAGACGGCAGCATTTTGTTTAGTGCCTACTTGGACGATTCTGAGGCTGAAGTCTACGTTTCTGAGACTCGTCTTTGAGGTACCTGTGCCTGAGTGCATATTTGTCAACTCTGGAACCTAATTTTGATCGGCAAGTTCCGATTCCAAACTAAAAAATAAATTACCACAATCTCCTTACTCTGAAACCACACGACCCAGTTCTTGCAATAAAGGCCTGCGATTGATTGAGTTCAGCACTTGCATTTGTTTCTGCTTTGTGTCCCAGTGCGCTTGATGTCGTTTTAATATACACGTTACTCAGAAATTATGTGCCTGCATTATTTCGTTTGTATTTTGTATAATTCGTTGCCTCGTTCGCAGAGTCGCTCAAGGATCAGGGGATCTGGAGCTGCGTCGTTATCAGTGTCGAAGTACCACTGCTGTTGCAGAATTCGTTTTATTTATTTTCAGCACACACACATACAGGTTCTCGTTGTGTTTAGTTCTGAAGACATTTGTTTTAAATGTAAATATTGTACAAGGCTCGCGGTGTGATTTGCCTACACTAAACGGAGAGTGTTGTGTGTGCAGATATCCCACTGTGTGCCGGCTGCAATCAACACATCGTGGACAGATTTATTCTGAAGGTCCTGGACCGTCACTGGCACAGCAAGTGCTTAAAATGCGGCGACTGCCAGAAACAACTGACGGAGAAATGCTTCAGCCGAGGAGATAGCGTTTACTGTAAAGAGGATTTCTTCAAGTAAGTACGATTTATCCAGCAACATGTCACACGCACTCACAGACACATGCAAATCTGCGCACATTCACTCATACACACTCTCCCAATCACTCACAAACACAGATACAAATACACACATTCGCACAGTTTCATTCACGTGTACATAAACACCACACTCTCCGTCACAAACGCACAGCCATATACACAGATACGCGCACACACGGACATATATACAGGTAGAAACAGATTGACATACATTCACTCACACACAAACACAGGCTCACAAACACAGTCACTGACAAACAAGTAAACATCCACAGAGATACAGGCTCACACACACACACATACACACATGAATACAAACACACACACGCACACTCAAACATACAGATACAAATGTACTTAGATATACACAGACACAAACACACACAGACACCCTCAGACATGTAGATTCAAGCAGAAGGCCACACACAGACAAACACAATCAGACATACAGATACAAACACACTCAGACACAAACACATATACATACGCAAACACATAAACGTCGATCAGGAGTAGGAAACTGTAAAATTGTTGACATCCCAGGCTGAAGCCTACAGAAAAGCCCTCAGCCTGTAGAATGGCAGCTTCTTTAAGCTACACAAACACAACAATCCCAATCAGGATCTCCAGGCAGATTATCTAAAATTCAGAGGCACGAAATCCAGGGCTTTCATAAATGTGAAAAAAAACGCTAGAAATGTTCTGCAGGCTTGCTAATCTTTGAGGAGAGAGAAACGGAGTTAACGTTTCGGGGGTAAGGATCTTTCAGTAGAATACACTATTTCCAGCATCCTCTGCTTATATCCTTGGTCTGTTGCTTTGGTCCATTATTTTCAGACTTCTTTAAAATAATTGAATTTTTTTGGGGAAAAAAGAAAGTTCCTCAAATTGATGCTGTCTCTAATCTACTGAAACACAGAACTACAGAAATCCAGAATGTGTTTTGGAAAAGGAAAAGCCTATTTAAATAAAATAATGCTAACCGAAGAAATAAAGAACTGCTATTGATAGAAATCTGAAAGCAAAACAAGAATTACTGGAAAAACAAAGAGGATCTGGCTGCATCTGTGGAGAGAAAGCAGAGTTAACGTTTCGGGTCCAGTGACTCTTCAACCGACCTGGTGATTTGCCCCTTCATTGGGCAACGGTGATTGCGTTAACCCTGACTCTGAAATCGCAATGTGTATTTTTTTAAATGCCCCGCTTTTATGCTTATCTGTTTTTAAAGCGTGAGATGGGGTTTTGATTTTAATGAGCCCGCAGTTCAGTGCCCTCTGAGTTAGAATCCTCGCTGACGGGAGGCTGCATTGTCGCAAGGTCTCCGAGCCCTCTCAGACCAACGTGAATAGAAACCCGATGATTCTGTTGCCAGGAGATCCCTCCGCCCACCCTGTGTCCTCGCTGTTATGTAGCCCCCTTCGAACAGTACCTCAAAGTTTACGACTGTCACAATGTTGTTTGCTGGACCTCTTCGAACAAATTGCGGTTGCTGCTGTAACAGTGAATGCAATTGAAAAGTGGCTGTAAAATACTTTGGGACGTCCCGGGGCCTCTATATAAAATCACTCTTTGTTTAAAAAGAAAATCAGGACGATAGGACGAAATAGCCAGAACACTGGTTCTAACCAGTTAAATATATTCCGAACGCAAAAAAATACAATTCAGAAAATGAGGGAGAATCAGGGAGGGTACCAAATATTCTACTTCTAAACAAAATTACATGCGGCTGAATGTTGAATCTGTTCGATTTAAGATTATTAATTCCATCCAGACTCGTTCCCTACCAAGGATAATTCATCCCGACTGAGGAAGAAACGAGAACTCCCCAAAACTGACCGGGATAACTTTAAAATATGATTTTGAAAGATTTTTTGAGTTAAAACATTAGTGGTTCTCATTCTTAAAAATGTACGTTAATTACAGATATAACCATACCTCTGTAAGTATGGCAAGACCCTGTAGTTTAATCTTTCTTTATATTTAGATAAACATTGCATAATTTTATTTAGTTTTTACATTATTTATAATTGTTTGTCATTATATTCTGCATCCTAATTCGTGCGCTCGACTTCCCAAAGAATTGTATCTGTGTAACATCGGTAGCAATAACCTTGGCCTGCAGCAAATCTCCTGCTGAATTTAGGATTTCGAAAGTAATCGACCGCAAAAATGAGAGTTCGTTTCATATCCGTGTGAGTATCGGTGAGAGACACACAGACACGGTCTGTATCCTCAGCACTTACACATCCAGCCAAGAGACTAAGCTTCTTATTTGTCCTTAAATTCCGCCCCCCCGCAATACCCACCTCCCCCATTCCTTAGTTTTATTTTCTGATCCCAGAAGATTAATATCTCTTTTCTATCTTCTTGCTGGAAGCAGAGATTGAAAGGCGAGGATTAGTCTTTCAAATCCCCCATCCGCCGAACTGGGTCAGAGCTTTGACAAGCGGCGATGGTAGGAGACAGAACTGGAGACCCTGGGTTTGGTTTTAAGAGACATTCACCGATTAGCGAACCGGCATGGGATTAGAACACGTTTACTGTTTTATAATTCTGCATAGATAATTAAAATGTTATTTTAAAGTAACAATGCACACTATCTTCATAATTTAGCAACACCGTGTATATTTACTTAAATTAATAATTGTTTGAGTGGCCGCAGCTTTATAGCCGAAAACCTGCCTTTTCTGTTTAACGTTTTCTTAAACATAAGTTTAAAAAGGGTCTCTATCGCATTTGAACAAAACGCTAGAGAAATAACAAGATACAGTACGTCGATTTAAAGAATGAATCCACTTTAACTCATTTAAAAATATAATGTCACAACCTTTGAATATTTTACTTTTAATGCGCTGGTAGTAAATTCCATTCAGAAAGAGGGACGTCTCCAGCCCAGACTAATTCCAATGCTATGGTTGAAGGTTGGACTTCAGGCGAGCCAGGGAGTTGGAGACAGATCAAAGTTCAACCCAATCGTGCAATCCTCTCGGGGTGGTGAGAAATTCAGTTCCATTAACATCTCCAACCAGCTTTCAGTCTGTTTCATTGTCACTTCAGGAAGAAACTAATATCTTGAAGTGACTTTTATTTCAAAAAAGGGAATATTATAGTGGAACGGAAACTTAGACAGGTCTGAAAATCTGAAATAAAAAAAACAGAAAGTGCTATAGGAACTCAGCGGGTCTGGCAACATCTGGAGAGAAAAACAGAGTCAACATTTCAATTCCAGTGTCTCTTCGTCAGAACTTCCTTATCATAACTGTTATTTAATTATAATTAATAATAATATTAACTCTTAATCCACAGTGATTTCCACTTCCCCACTGTTCGCCTGCAGCGAGTTTAATTCTTATTTAAACATGTCGAATGCTAAAATTCATTAAGGTATAGTGATATAAAGTATATAAGATATAAAGTCATTGCAAGGTGATAGACACTATTCTTGGATTATAGCTTGCAACTGTAATATACATCGACAAAAAAAGTCTACTTTTAGAAAAGTCTACATTTCTGAAGTAGGGTCTAGACCCGAAACGCAGCCTTCCTGCTCCTCTGATGCTGCTTGGCCTGCTGTGTTCATCCAGCTCTACACCTTGTTATCTCAGATTCTCCAGCATCTGCAGTTCCTGCTATCTCTACTTTTAGACGCCGCGATAAATTACATTCAGGGCGGAGGTAGAAAGATTGAGTTTTCTAAAACAGTTTACTCCTGCAAAACGCTGTTATCAGTAAAAATAGCTCAGTAGGAGCAGAAACATCGATCAATAAATATTACCCCGCCTAAATATATTGGGAATACAGATAAAGTGGACGTGTTCTTTTTCATGGGGGTGGGAGGGGGTAGGTTGTGAAGTTGTAGGTCACGAAGCCTGACAAAGAAAATAATTTTGGGGAGTACCTTGCACGAGATCCGAACCAAACATCTGAGATTACATATGAACACGTGAACAGAGAGAGTAGACCTGCTTTGCTGTAATTGTAGACTTCCCGTTTGCTGTTTTAATTTAAGACTTACCGCCGCGTTATCCATGAAATTTATAATTTTATAAATATAATTTTATAATCTATGATTTTGCTGATGGTATGCAGTAATATTTCGGGTATTGAGGCAATTGGCACATGAAACAGTACAGAAATATAGCGCACTTTTTTACGTAAGACGCCCCTCCTTCCTATTTTAATGTGATGATAATTTGAAGTTAGTTTATCGCTTATTTATAATATTCTATGTCAAAGTGTAAGGTGTCACAAAAGCAAAGAACTGCAGATGCTGGGAATCTAAAACAAAAAGAGAAATTGCTGGAGAAACTCAGCAGGTCAGGCAGCATCTGTGGAAAGACAAAATAGAGTTAACATTTCGGTCTAGAAACTATTGATAGAAGCTCCCAGACCTGTCTAAGTTTCTGCTTATATCTAGGATGTCACTCTCTCGAATGCGGCATTGTACAGAAGTCTGTACATCAACTTTACTGATCCTTCCCTTTTTACATAATTCACCTGGTAAACCGAGAAACCGCTTTAAAAACAAAATAATGAGAAATTAATCAGAGTATGAAAAGTTCGGTAGTTTAAATGGTTTCGAATCACAAGCCAGTCGATCCTACAGCGCACCCACTGCTAACATCTAACTGCAATTTGGTCTTTACTCTGCACTGGCAAATACATCCCAATATCTACTACATTTTGGGCGGAACGAGTTCTTCCCAAATCGAAGCAGGAAATGCTGTTAGCCGTGTTGAGAGTATAGACGTAGAGATTCGGGTCGACAAGCTACCGTCAACACTAGAAGTTGTAATGAGACGAACCGCTTTTGCAGGGGTTCTTACGAATCTCTGGTTTAAATGTGTGCTCGAGTATGTAATGCAAATCCTTGCCTTCCCACTTGAGGTGTTTACGTTGGAGTTAGTTTTTTCAGCCGCATTTAAAATTCTATGTTCGCTTGTGACATCTCGCAGTTTGTGCCTTTTGTCAGAACC